GATCTTGGTTGGCGGTAAATGATCAGACTTAATTAAAAAAAAAACGTAAAACTATCTATCTAATAAAACCTAAAACTTTTAAATAATAAACATTAAACCTCTTTTAATTCACTTTAGCCAATGGATTTTTTAAGCCAAATGTGTTTGCCCATTTAATTGTTTCTTCGAGGACAAAACAACGATAGAGTAACAAAGGCCCAGACTCCCCTCACATATGGACAATTTCGGAGCGATCGACTAATGCAATAAAACGCAGACAATGTGTGAAGTTGAGCGTTCGAATTTCCGAATGCATTTTCCATTTTCCAATGCACGGCTGCACCGGCGACCGAAACAAAGAAAACGCACAAAAGCCAAGCCCCCTGAAGCTCCCTTTTCCTCCACGCCTCCTTTTCCTACCCCTTGTGGGCGTGGTTGCGTGTATAATTTGCGATTTATGTGAGCCATGTTGACAGCAGTCGCGAAGTTGTTGGGAAAAGTGAGGGGAAAATGGGGGAAATGGCAACAACAGCGACTAACACGTGCTGTGCGTCATCTAATGCGACTGACAAACACCTACACGCAGACACAAGCACAGGCGCTCACACCGCCAAACACATACACATATATATGTACACACCATCACACGCAAAGGAAGTTGCACAATGTGTCAAATGTCATATATGTGTCGCTAATAAATTCTCTCAAATGTTTCAATACCCGCACGCCTGCCAGCATAATAAAAAGATCCCCTCGCACTTCGCATCTCATCGCGACACTGACAAACTGCGAATCTATGGCGACATAAGCAGACAGCCGACTAAATTTTCAAAGGATGGGCAAAAAAACACTCTATCGACACTTAAAATACTCTGGGTAATTTTTGAAAAATAAGTTATTAAGTTTCTATATTTTATTTTGACACGTTGACGAACAAAAATCATGGTAAATCATATTGAACAACAAAAAAAGGAAAACTTAATTATATTTTTAATTTTTTTTTTCATGTATAATTATTACTTATTGCTAATGGTATTATTTAAAAAAAAGTTTGTTTTCTGTTGGGTATTGAAAAATAAATTCAAACTTTGTTTGAGGCACAAAACAGAGCAAACAAAAATAAGTATTTTATTTCGAGTTGTTAAAAAGTAGGTATAGGTATGTGGCTTAAAAACAAAGTTCGTACTTATAATTTTTTAAGTGTATTTTAGAAATGATATATGAATTCAGTTTGGCTAGGAGACTTTCCCCTCGCTTGTGTCTTTTATGTCCAAATGAATCTTAAATTACCAACATATCCCGCTGTCAATTGTATTGCTTCTGATCGGGACCAAACCAATCATGGCACGCACAAGCAATTGAAATATCCCCCTTTGACACCCCCAACAAGCTTTTATTCATGGGACTCTGTATACAACTATTTTGGGACTAGCTGAAATTGACTTTGGGTCGAAGTCAGTATTTAACCTATAAAAGTGTTTGTCAGACCCAAAATCACAGACGCAAAAAGTTAAGAAAATTATTCGAGCATTAATTTAAATTTTCAAGCCGAATAGAGTGCAAATCAAATTTTATTGCAAAACCTTGGATGTTTTTCCATCAGTGAGTTATCGCCAAAAACAAATGCAATCTCAATTTTCTTTTGCCAAATCTCAAAAGTCGCATTAAAGGGTAAATAAATTTATAAAAATGATCAAAGGAAATGGGAGTGCAAAACTATTATTGCCGTATGAATATTTATAGTATTTTGTTTACAAATAAATTGCCACCGTAATGGCAACGTCTTCAATGCACGCCAAATGAACTGCAAACGAAATGGAGCGGCCCCTGTATAGAAATATAGTTGTCTGCGGCCCATTGCAGATGGGCCCAAGAGTTTGTCATTGAACTCGAAAGTCGCCGGCGAAGGAAGGAAGCAATTCGGGCGGAGTTGGAGAAGTTGAAATCTATTTAATTGCAAAATCACAGCCAAAATGGGCAGCGGCGGATGTGCTCTGCTTGAGTGTGGGATTGTTTTTCCCCGCTCGACTCTGATTCGGTTCTTGGCCGCGGATCCGGCCCGAAAAGCCAGATCCGTGCCAGAAACCTGAGCCGGATGAGCGGCCAGCAGCAGTGCTGCCAGCATCATCGTCAATGCAATCATCATCCGACCCACCGCCTCCCCTTTGCCATCTTGGCACGGACTTGCTGCAGAACTTACGGAAAAGCACACCCGTACACCCGTACCACTGCCCGCATCCATACGGACATTCCGGCTACGTTTGCCCGTAACAACAAAAGTGCATAAATTTAATGCGGATTTTGGCAAACGATGCGACAACGTTGGCTTCCAGTGCCAAGTTCTGAGCCTCAGCCCCTGCCCCAGCCCCCTTATCCGGTCATCGTCGGACACATCTCTAGGCCTCGGCCAAAGCCCTGCCATCAGCCCCTCGAAATTACACCCTACCCACACGACTCGGTGAAATTCTATGCATTTCCGTGTTGGCATTTGTCGCTGGTTCATTGTGTGAACTCGGCGGGCGAGTGCACGGCTGCACAGTGATTGCACAGTGGCTTGCGGCCCATACAAAAATATGGTAGTCATACAAATAAATTTCCAATAAAATGTTAGAGACGACTAAGATCTAAATGTATGCCACAAATAAATAAAGTGCCACAAAAAAACTATTTCAAATAACTATATCAACATATGCTATACTTACAAAATCGGTTTTAAAATCCTCACCGCTTTGTGAAAATCCGCATTTGAGAAAAATGTAGTTGCGGTTTCAAGAATTTTAATGAGCAATTTGAGGTAACTTTCTTAATTTTGAATATATATAAAAAAAAATATAATTATAAAAAAATAATTTTGTCAAACTCACTTAGATTTTTATAAACCAAAGGCAAAAAGTTCTTAAATATATAAATAGGTTTGGCTCATTAGAACATTTGATGGAGGTTTTATCCTTTGTAATTTGTAAACAAATATGTGTTTCGACTTTATACATCTTATTTAAAATCAACATGTAACCACGATTCATTTCGGTTAACAAAGAGGAGGAGGCTCAGAGGCTTTCCACTTGACATCTCTCACACTCTGGCGCTTTTCTCCATCTCTATTTCTCTGTGCACATCTCTCTTTCTCCATTTCTCCGTTTCTCCCAACTATCTCCGCCAGAGACCCACGCTATATGCATTATAATTTGAGTGGCATGTTGAGAGTGGCTTTTGTTTTGCTTTTAATTAGATTTACATTGGCCACTTTTCAGTTGCGCATCCAGTTTCGGCCTCCGCCCGATTTCCCCCCGGTTTTCGGGCCTTTCATCAAGTCTGGCCTAACTAGCAATGCGCTTTGTTTATTTTGGCGCCTTCTGCAGTGGCCATTTTTCCCCTAGCCCCTGGCCCCTAAGCCCACCCCCTGCTCCACTCGCCATCTTGTTGTCTTTTTTTCGGTTGCTCTTTTGTGTTTTTGCCGAGTTATTTTCAACAGCTTCACTTTTTGCACTTCCGCTTTGTGTGTCACTAATTGCTTTTGTGTTGCAGTATTTACAATTGTTTTGATTCATTTCTTGTCCTCCCCCAAAGTCACCTCCCACCCCCTTGAGCCCTCCATGCCGCTTAATTAAATGCACTTTGAATGTCCTGTCTGCACTTGCCTCTAGGCCTTTGCGTCGTGTTGTCTCTAATCACGTTCTCTAATGAAATTAAATGAAATCTCCCACTGCACTAATGCCGCAGAGAAAACGGGCAGGTTAAGAAACCTTGTATTTATCAAATGAGCATTAATCTTGTAGACAAAGTTTTGGGGTTACTTTAGATAAGAATCTATCTATCATCATGATTGGAATTAAATCTATTAAAAGTTACAAGAAAAAAGTATTAACATGTAAAAGCTACTTTTAAATATATTGAAAAATTATTAAAAACAAGAAAGTAAGTAAACTTCGGCAAGCGGAAGTTCATTTACCCTTGCAGTTGTTGCAAATTTAAATATTCTTTAAAACTTCTAAACTTCGATTTATATGATTTCAGCTAAATTATTCGTTCGTTTCTATGGCATCTACGATATCATATAGCTTCCATAGGAACGATCGATTAATTAAGCTAAAAATCATTTAAACATATACGCATATAATACAAAATTTAGATGTTTTAAAGAATATTTAGGGATGCATAATCTTCGGCTTGCCGAATTTCGTTTATTTTCCCATTTCCATTCACTGCACAACTTGCTTGTTGATAAGACGCGAACCAATCTTAAATGACGAAAATAACTCAGTGCTTTTTTGAATGGTGCAGCATAATGAGTGACGCAGGAATATCCAGTCGCTGATGAGGCTGCTAATTCAAAACCGGAAAAGCTTTTAACCAATTTGCATAATTTACCCCGGCTCAGTCGAAATCGTCTGGCGGTCGGACCATTTTTCTCTTGGCCGGCATCAACTCGCCACCCAACGACATCTTTAAAGAAATTAATTAATGAAATGTTGATTAACTTTTGCCAGCCAGCCAAGTTGAGTTCCGCCCCTGCTGCCTGCCCCCTTCTGTCTGAGATTTATGTCAAGGCATTTATCATGGCTCGAAAGGAGTAAACAAGTTCTGGGCGTTGCGGACTTTTCGAGGGGCAGCCGCATGGGGCGTGAGCATAATCCACAAAATTATGCGCACTAAGGCTATTTACAATTCGTAAAATTTATTTTTAAAATGTTTACGATGGGCGTGGCAGGCAGGACGAGCTTTGCTTTGGTTTGACTTGGCTTGGCTTCGTCTCGTTTTGTCTGGCAGGACTTCCGAATAAACTGGGATGAAATGGCGTGGGCGTGGTCGCCTGATGGCTTGTCCTTGTCTGGGGCTAATTAGCGTGACTGCGCCAAAAAAGCGGAATGACATTTGCAAGGGTCAGTGGGTGAAAGGGGTAAGATTGGAAAATTAACATTTTCCTTTCAAATAACCAATGCTCTTCATAAGGAAATGTGTTTTTTTAATTGTTGAATGTTTTTAATGATATTTTCAGATGAATATAATGATGCTTTCTGGTATTCAGGATATTCACAAAATCTCTAGCTATTTATTTAATAAAATTTTTTTACTAATTAGACAATTAAATATTTGGCAAGATTTTGTTTTATATTTGTAACTCGACGGGTATTGAACCGAAAGGGTTTTTTTTTAAGAATGTAATTACGGGATTGAGTTTAGAACTTCCGTCAGGAACACTGATCCTGAAACTTGGGTCAATCCCATACCGCTCATCATGTCCACTAGTTCCTTATCCGAATTGCTTTTTCCCTCAAAATCATCCTGGATTATATTATAAAATCTCTTGAGCTCCACTTTTGCTCGGCTTAACCGCTCCTTTTGCTCGTCTTTCGATAATCTTTCGAAATCCCTAAATACATATCGATCCATAGCTATGGTTCACAAACAAAACACTGAGTTAATGGTAATATAATTTAACTACGTTAGGACATAGGCTTACCGTATTTTTTGCTCATAATTTCATAAAAATATCTGAGCAACTTCAGGTTGAACTGATTTTTCCTTTTCTCTTGAGCCGATCTTTTATCAATATCTTCAAAGACATCTCGATCCATGACTATGGTTCACAAATAAAGCACACCGTATTAATAATTACTTAAATTTACAATAGAGACTTTGAAATAAAATACCTTTGCTTGATTATTATTTTAATTCGCTTAGATTTTACTGGATGTGTTTCCTTTGAGAAAGTCAGCCACAAACTAAAGTCTTTTATTTTTTGTTTTGACAGCTTTGAACAAAATTTAAAGGCTTACTTAGATTGTAATTTTTAAATTCCCAAAATATAAAATGGAAGCTTATTGAAGTGAAACCATTTAATAAAAAAGTGACTAAAAAGGGCCTAATCTAGTAACAAAATGAAAATGAACAAATTGTGTTTTTGCCGGATACTGACTTCAATTGCTAAACTGCGATCATGCCTACCTACAAACTCATCCCAATTAAATCAGAAACCAAAGGAACCTACCTTTAATTTTCTTACATTCTTACATGTCCAAATTTCACTTAGGGTATTTAATAGCACATTTGGCATTGCGCATCTCGCAACTCGCTGCCCGTAATGCGATTAATCATTGTCCATTGGATTGTTTTGAGGGTCGCCCATGGAACTCGTCAAGTTGGCCCTGGTTGTTGTTACTGTTTCGCCTGATTGATTTATGTTTCTAAGCCCATTGTTTGGCACACAAATGGGGGAGGGACGGCGCCTTCCGAGAGGCTTAATTAGTTTGACCCAGGTGTTTGCGAGGCGAATGGCCGAAAGGAAAAGGTCTCAAGCTACAAGGGCTATTAGTCAAAGTCGTGTGATAAGTCACGGCGAAAGGCTTAAAACTCAGTGGGAAGGATGGTGGATTTATCGCGGGTCTGATTATAGAATTGCATAAAAAATGGTTAGCCAATAAACCATTTGTGACGTGCGATTCATACCTTTTGTGCGGCCCTATAAATAACATGACACAATCTATGGCAAAAACATTATTTGGCAATAAAGTGGAAATCGATTCGAGCCAAACTTGACAAACGGCCGGCAAGGAACAAATGGAGCGCCGTAAGAAAAATAATATCGACTATCAAGGATTTCCCTGCTCCTGCTGGCTGCTGGATGCTTTTTCTTCAGGTCCTGGCTGCTGTGACAATTTACATGGCCCAATTGCAGTACCCTTTCCCCCTTTTTTCCCGACTCAATGGCTTTTCCATTCTCCCGATTGCCCTGCCACGTCGTTCAAATTGAAATTTTTCCGTAGAACCCCACTCCTCAGACCCACATTCGCAGGACACACGTATGTTTGTATGCATGGGACATCCTTTTGTGCTCCGCTCCCTTTGTACTTGTCATTTATGAAAATTTGTTTATTTTCGTAATGCTCCATTTGCAAATGTAGCCAAAGTAAATATTGCAGCTGGAGATGGAGTCTCTCCCCATGACTTATTTTTTATGGTTCTGACTGCGGAGCATAATTCATGCGCCCTTTGTTAGCATTTACATGACCCAAATTGGTCTCTGAATATTTATTGACAAAAATATACTATCATATTAAAAATATGAAAAAATATCTATATATATTTTTGTTTATTTAATTAAACAAAGGTGCCGTTTTTTTGTATGGATTGCATTTTAAAATATATGGCATTGCAAATACCAGTTTTCCTGAAATTTGAATGCATATTTAAAATTTTTTACCTAATTAACTTTATTGAAAGTAGGTATCTAGCTTTCAATCATTTGCTGAAGCTTAAATATATTTTTGTATATAGTTAAAAAAGGATATCCATTTGCTTAAGTCAAACTCATAAAGTCGAGCTTAGAATTAAACTCTTCAAAATGAGCACTTATGCTATTTAGAGTAACATTAATTCAATTTCCTATGTTTAAACATACAAATTAAGCATCAGCTTTCACTTCCATTATAAAACGTATAGCTCCGTTTTTGTTAAATTTTTTTTTCAATTCGTATTTTGATTAAATATTCATTATTGATTATAAATTCTCATATAAGCTTAATAACATAAATTATAGCAAAGGCATTCAGCAAGGACATGGTTTTGCACCGGCTGGCAGCCAACAACAGCAAGGACAGTTAAATTAATTGGCAATTAATTATAGTTTGTGCTAAATGAGCCGGCATGTTATTGTTTGTGCTAACAAGCCATGGTCGTACACATTTAAGACTATTTATTTTTGATCAATTAAATGCCACTTTTTTTGTGCGCAAGACTTTTGTTTGCGCTTTTTTAATTAAATTAAAAAATTCATATAAATTTTATAGATTTCAATTGTTAACCAATGGCATTAAAGTTTGATTTATTTCAGAAAAAATGAAGTTTTTTCAGGCTATAATAGAATTTTCCAAACACTTGCTGTTTTTTGTATATATAAATTGTTTTATATTATTTATATTTTATTATAAAATACGGAAAAGCTTTAAACATATTCTGTAACGAAAGTTCAGCAAAATTTTAATCTATTTAATATTACGTTCTTGCAGTTTTTTAATATTTCTTCGTACTTGATGATTCTGCCGTAATTAAATATTTATGAATCTCATGAAAAGACAACAATTTTATCTCGAATCTCCCTACTTCAATTTCCTATACAAAAGAATTGACAAAAAAAAACAATCGCGAAATGAAGCTCAAATCATTGACCCATAAAGCAAATGTCAATAGCGAGAAACCAATAAGGGAAAACTTCCACCAGGCATAGATTTTTAATAAATTTTCATAACCAAAGCTGGCTAACTACCCGGCTTTTCCATTCACTTTCCACCACCGAAAAAAAACGGCAAAGCGGACTGTAAACATATTTCCCATATTACGTCACAGTGGCTTGTCGAAAAGGAGTCGGAACATCAAATTATGGCGAAAGAAAACAAGCTGCCTGCCGTATACAACAAAACCGAAAGGGAAAATAAACAAACAGCAGTTAAGAGGGGCAAAGGAGGAAAATATAGGGGGAAGGGGGATTCCTTAGTGGGGAAAATGGTTTGGGGGCGGTGAAAACCGCCAGCGAGCCATAAAAATAGCTGAGGCCAAAAGCATTCAAACTTATGCTAGGACAGAGCCACCGAAAACCAGCTCGCGACTGGCGCTTATATTTTATTGCTATTATCCTGTTTACTTCATGTTTATGCACACACATACAAGTGCACAAACAGGACCATATACAGACGCGAAAGCACATGTTCAGTTATGCGATGGTGTGCGAATTAGTGGCAGTGAAATGAAAAGGGATGCCTCGATCTTTGGCATTTCATTTCAATTTCATCCATACCCTATTTCAAAGGAGTTCTACTTAAATTTTATATTACTTAAAAAATTTTTATTTTGAAATAACTTACAAAACAAGATTTAAGCTAGTTAACCTTTACATTGGTTTGAGTTCCGCATTTAATTAAAGTAACTGAATTAAAATAATTTGTTGAAAATATTTTATTTAATTTACTAAATACTAATGAAAGTAATTTGCAGAACCATTTTCGGTTGACAAAAAAAATAAAAAAATAAAAAAAATTGTAACTTAATGTTTAAAACTGTTCTTGTTTTATGTGTTAAATATACATATTTAATTTAAATTATCAAAATATGTAACAGATGTTGGATATTTTTGTAATATTTGGATGTTGAATATTTTTGTAATATATTGATCACTAAAAAATCAAAGTAATTTTAAGGGTATACAAGGCTCAATATGAATCTCTTCCCCCGCATTTCTGTTCTCCTTTTCGCTTTCGTTCAATTGAAATGGACATATTGGAGGTTTTTTGGGGGTGGATCGAAGATTTGAGGGGTGGAGTTCTATAGTTTAGTGACGTGTTTATATTCACGCACATATGGAAACCCGAGTCAGATGTCGCCGTGTGGTTTTTACGAGATGGCCCCCTCCGAAAATGTCCTTCATTTGCCAGTTGATAAGGGGGAAAAGTGCTAACCTTGTACCTTTTTTTCGCTGCTCCTTATGGACAGCAGGCACTAGCTTCTGGCTAAGCAGCCAGCGAATCAGGCGAAAGCCACCATTGTTCGGCTCTCCCTTTGTTAGACTGGCACTTGGGGTTAAAAGCATTGAATATCTAAAGAGACAACACTGTCATATTTTCAAATTGAGTGTACAAGTGCTTTCACTAAACTTTTGCGTATGTGCATGTGAGGGATTCAAGGAGGGTCCAACACATTTGTTAGCTTTAATAAACATTTATATGACTTTAGCTTAAGTGCTGCATACTTTCGGGGATGGTGGATGTGGGAGGTGGTTTGGTCCTTGAAGCAGAGTCGGGGGCAAACAAATAAATTACGTCGCCAGCATCTAGGAACAACAAATCAAGTAATGCATGCATAAATTCAACAATTTTCCACAAGTAGCCAAGAAAGTAGCTAAAAATTCCCCCATCCCTTTGGGCATTTTCCTACCGCTCTTCTGCTTTTCCAATGACTCGCTCTGTAATTTATGACTTGACGCTGGAGCAACCACAAAACCAGAAGCAAAAGCACCAGCATCACCACCACTAGAACCAATGACAATTTTCGGAACAATTTTCGCGCCAGATAGAAATGGAGAGGCGGGAAAAGTGAAGAGAAAAGGAACGGCAAACGCCTCAAGAAGTGCCCAAGTACGCTGGTGGCTGTGTGAGAATATTGTAAAATTGTTGAAATATAAAACTTTCCGCTGCATAGCGAGCTAACGATGCGGAAACCTGAAGAAAGTTATGTTATCAATTTCAGGAGCAACAAATAAATTTAAATTTGCGGTAACAAAGGACGAGTCGTGGCCATCTTCTTCCCAAAAATTATGTCCAGCTGGGCCAAAGGCGCAGCTAAGATCCTCTAAGTTATTTCCGAACTTTGATTTGGGTTCTTAAAATTAAACCAAACACTTAAGAAGACCATTTAACTGAGTTCAAACCAATTTTAATGTATAGGTACCTTGTTAAACTCATAGTAATTCAAAGCTTATTTAAAATATATAAGGAAAAATGTAAATTTAAACCGCTTGCTGAATTCTGAAAACAAAGATGCAAAGATCCAGATCAAATCCAAATATTCCTTCTTTTTCACACCAATCAAATAATAAGTGATTGCGCCCTGACCTGATAATATATTAGTTTATTTATTTATTTTTGCAACCTCTTATACAAAATTGAGGCCTTAGCATAAAGTGATAAGTGGTATTTTTGGTTGTAAAATCAATTTCCCCCCAAGCAATGCAATTTCCGAAAGCAATAAT